AATATCGTCTTCTACTTCTTGATACCAAAATAAAGCATTTTCTTGTAAAGTTATTGGAATGTAGTCAAGTTTTTCATCAGATCGTAATTGCAGTTTGGAAAAGGTACTAATAATTGAATTAAGCCATTATTCAGCTTCAATTCCTCCTGAATACTTTGATAATGAATCAATGGTTCGGACGAGATCTCTGTTTGAATCCTGCTTAACTACCTCATTTGTTGTTATTTGAGATTTTAAATTATCTGATGTTTTTTGTTGACAGTCGTTACGTTGTCGTTTTTGATATTCTTCTAACTCCTTCACGAATTCGGAACCTTCATCATCGGTTGATGCTATTAATCCATATGATGTTGATCCTGATGTATGCGGCATTATTGCTTGAACAGATTGTCGTTTTATACGAAGTAGGTCTTGAAGACAATTTTGTCGAACTGTTTCTTTACTTCTATCAATTCGAGATCGTGAAGATCTTTGATCCATTCATTTTGAATAGGTTGTGATTAAAAAAATTACAGGTAAGTATGTGTTTATCGAAATAAATACGAATCCGCTTCGATTCTGAGTAGGGGAATTACGATTGGACGAAGTTATTGACAGAAAGATTTGTCACAAATTTAGCATACACAAGTAAAAATACTAATCAAATCTAACATACCTTTTTGTAATTGTGACAATTTTTTTGTTTTGTTTCCTTTTTTTCCTTTTTTTTATAATTACGTGTTGTTAATTTAATGCGAATAAGATACTAAACGTCTAATGTCGTAAGTAATTATGATTACCGATTATAATCAGATGAAACAGATGGAATAACGATAGAAACGAGAAAGAAGATCAAAATGTTCGAAAGAAAATAGCCAGGCCCCCAACTGTCAGTTCTCCTATTCTTCGGTAAGTCTAAATAATAGGAAAACTCTAGAAACTAGGCCTATCCAGGCCCGTTAGTGGATAATATCACTCAACGAAGAGATAAGAGGGACCACAGTAAAAAATACCTAATGAAAGGCGATCGAGTGTGATAATACGAATATATTTGAAAAGATGTAAAATGCGAATGACTAACAACAAGTCAGACTGACAAACTAAGAGATTATATATATATATAAGACGAGAAAAAACTCGAACAAAAATGAACATATATATAATCTATATGTGTATAGTAAAGGAAAATTGAAAAATAAAAAATAAACTAAACAAAAGAGAAACAGTCGATGACGAAGAAAATGAATGTATGTATTCACTAAAGAAAAATCAGTACTGACTAACCTTTTAAAGAAAACTAACTGTCGTGTGAAAATAAAGAGCTGTAAGTGAAAATAAAGAAAAAAATAGTGAGGAAAGAAGACTCGAAAGGATCTGAGAACGAGATATGGCTAGACCTCTATCTTCTAGAGTCGAGTGGAGGATCTTTACATCTTTTTACTTAGATTTGGGAGAGCTCGTTCTAGAAACTGAAACCACACCGAAAGAAAAAGAGGTTTCGGAGACATGGAAAACCCTTTTGGGAACGCTTTAAAGGCCCCGTCCCCAGAAACATAATTTTTTTTATAAAAAGTTTATATTGAGCTAAACACATAATCATATAGTCCACAGTATCTACTATCCAATGTTATTTAGTCCTCCTCGAAGGGGTATGGAAGTTTTTCAAAAGGTTTTCTGAAACCTTGGAAAGCTGACTTTTCGAAAACATTTTACTTTTCGATAAAAATCCAAATCCAAAACTACTTTCCATAACACCGGAAAATAGAGCAAATATGTCTGATGAAAATGAGATATTCCCAGCTCTGAATGATATTCTGATCAAGAGTTATGAGACTTTTGCTGAAAGTCCTAAAATATATATCAGATACTGACGCCACCATATCTCGAAAGCAACTTACATCTTATCACCATTTCGTGGCTGCAAGATTTCTCGGTAATGAAAGATGGCAAAGAGCTCGAGAAGATCTTAAATTGAAGCTGATACATGTGGCTAGAGGCTAACAGAGCCCGATTTTTTATATTCGGTACAGATTTATGGTTAGAAAAATATATGCGAATTAATGAGACTATTTCGAATTTTAGACTTTTGATGCTGATCATTAATTTGAAAAGTAAGGCATCGAAATTACAGCTCTATTAGCCGCTAGCCGCATGTGTCTTCGTATACTCTAGACCAGCCCAAGCTCTCCACAACGTTTCGTTACTGAGAAATCTTGCAGCTACGAACAGCCTCAGTTTTGGTCACTGGTGCAGCGACATCGCACAAACCATGCTAGATAGAGCCAAACAAAACATTTCGCCACCATACTTTCACAAGATCAGTATCGCCTAAAGTTTGGTCAAAGTCGGACTTATACTTCCAGAGATAGGTTCTGACGGGGAGAGAGGGGAATTGTCAACCTTTATTCTTTCGGTGTGGTTCCAGTTTCTCGAACGCCTTGAGCATTTTCTGAAATACGGATTTGTTTACAGTGTACACGATCTTCAAGATTATTCTGGAGATCAAAATTTTTGGCCGTAATGTCTGCTTAATACTTAAAAATCAAATAGAATTAAATATGGATAAGTACTCTTCCACTTTTTTTTTGAATACTAGAGCATCTGATACTTCACGACTATCAGGAAAATAAATAACTTTGGGACAAAACACCAAAATTACTATTAAATCACACTAACAAAATACATTAAATTACGGAAAAAAACTGTTCGAACAGTTCTTTTTCAGTAATTTAGTCCATTTTCGAATGTCTTAAGTTTTGTTAGAAATACCTGTGAAATTTTTTTGATAACTAAGTTTGGTAGAATAAATGTTTTTCTACAAAATAAGACGTTCCTCATCTATGAAAAAATCTTGATAACCGATACATAGCAATTTTCTCGGATGCACCAACATCAGTTAAAAGTGATGCATAGCCACACTGTAACAGTTCACATCTCAAACGGTACAAACGAACTTTAGGAGTCATACGTTTTAAAATACACCTCCCTATCTCCGTCTTCACATCTATAAAACGGGTATTTTACCTGGTAAAATCTACACACAAAAACTCTGTTACCTTTGGTAAAATTTCATTTGGTTCTGATAAAATTTAAGTCCAAGCTCAACTAACCAAAAATAGCATAAAAGAGAAGTATGAAATAAAATGACTGTACAATACTATTTGCGTTCAAATATAGATCAAAAAGAAAGCGTTTAATTGGTTTAATGCTAAAACGTAGACAGATAAATTCAGCATTCAAATGAAAATAAAATAATTGTTCCTTTAGATGTACTTTTTTGTTTCTCTACTGGAAGTGAGCGTGTAAACGAAAAGATAAAATAGTCTCAGTTAAACGCAAATATTTGTCCAACACTATGTGCAAATTCATGCTGTATTTTTCTTCAAATGCTATTGGAGATCTTTTCTTTTCGAATTCACTTGTAACAACAAAAGTCTCACTGGTGGTTGAGGATTGATGCAAGTACTTATTTCCTCTTCTTTTGTGAAGTTATTAAATCAGCTGACAAAGACGTTAATGCATGTGACTTCGAAAAGTACCTGTAAAAAGTTTTCTTTTGAATCTGAAAGCAAGGGTAGTATTACTTAAGGAGAGCTCCGTCTTCCCAATATGTGCCCTCAAACTATGTCATTTTGAAGAGGACATCTGATTACATGTATCCTTAAGTTGTTTTATGAACTGGTAACTATTCACAGAGTTATTAATTAATTAAGGTTGAATTTTAATTAAAATATGAAGTCGTAGTCCTCATTTCCAAA